ATGTATTTCCCGTTTGTAATACAAAATGACTGAAAATTGCAAACTTCGCAAGGCTGTAATACCCGCATTTTACAACATTTCGCAACGAAACTTCGGAATATTACTAATTTTGTGATGCTCTTTCAAGCTGTGATAAAATTTTTGTCTAGACTTGTTGAAATCTAAATTTTAGCCAAAAGGTGAAAGGTCCATTGCCTCAGATACACGCTTGATAATTCTAGTACTTGTTGATGGCTGTGAAATGTCATACAAGTCACCGCATGCTAATTGGAATGTACCCGTGGCATAAAATCGTTCAGTCGATAAAGGTCGTATATCGGCTGGAATAGGACTTCCTCGATCATTATATGCAGATATATTTGGCCTGAGTATGTCCAGGAGCATACAAAACCCATCCTTCGTTAACCTGAACCAGGACCGGAATTGCTCCTCGGCATAGTTTTCAGGATCAAAATAATATATTCTCCGCATATTTTCGTTGGGACATTGTCCACTAATTCTAACCTACTTAGCCACCTATCCGCCATATTGGTATTTCTTAGTTCAGGTGAGAACGTCTCAAGGCACGTATACCTTTCACTCAAACTTCACTCAAAATACATGCTTCCCTTGAGGGGGAGTGGTGTCTTTGAATAATTGGAGGGTGAGTATACAAGTATTATAACCTCGTAAGTGGCTATAGCAACCTTCAATGCTAATATTTTCTTGCTCCTTTAGGCAGTCGAAGGGTGGAGTACCATAGACAACCATAGCAACTGGTCATGTTATGCAAATTTTTAAATTATTGTATTATATAAAACCTATAGCAATAAATTGTCTTTGAACTATTTCGGTGTAAATTTTTTAGCATAACTTCAAAAACTCATTAATAATTCATGAGAAAAACACAAAGAAAAATCATAAGCGTGTTGTGTCTTTATATGTAATAGAGATTTCCCTTGATTTACATAAACTTTCACTTTGATTTTCTCGACTTACACAACATATTTTTTGAAAATTACTAATTCGCCAATGAACTTACTAGGTCAATCGTTTTTGAAGCAATTTAAAACATTCGATAGATACTCGGCTTCGCCTCGCATAAAACACTGCTGCTCATGTTTTAAATAGTAGCTACATAACCAGTTGCCATGAATGTTGAAAGTCATTTGTGAATTCAATTAGCCTATTATGCAATTAACGCGGATTCTGAACTACATGGCAAATGTCCCAAATTTCTGGTGATGCTAATTTCGTTAAAGAATTTGCAAACATAATTACCTTTCCTGTTCTGCTGTATGTTGTCCAAAGTTTCTCTGGGTGTTAGGCAATGTGTTCGAGGAAGAAATTTTACAAACGAGTACTTGTTTGTTGCAAGTCGTTTTCTCGTATTCTGCAAAAAATATTAACATGCAACGCATTCAGGGAATGCAATTTTATATTACTTTATTGATTTATGTCTGAAATAGACATGTACATTTAAGGGATATTTAAAATATGTTTCAAGTGAAACCAAGATTATTTAAATTGGGTTGTATGAGCCAATTTGTTTGAATTTAGCTAGGATTGGTTTTGGACGCATCCAAATTTTTCGCATCAAAATCCATTTTTGTAAGCGCTCAAATGAGTTGTATTGTTTAAATTTATCTATAGTTGCTTTTGGATACATCCGAATCCATTTCTATAATGCATCCGAAACCAATAATTTTTAAAAAGTAAATCATCTGAGGAATTATAAAAAATGGATTTGGATGGTTCAAACAAGTTATTTTGTTTGAATTTCTCTAGGATTGGTTTTGGACACATCCAAATCCATTTTTTTGGAAACGCAAAATGAGTTATTTTGTTTGAATTTAGCTATGATTTAAAAAAAAATTGCGAATTTTTAGGATTGGTTTCTATTGTAAAAAGTTACACACTGAATAAAGTTTTCAATTTGAGTATTCTTATGCAAATTTGTTGATTGTGGTTCACTTTTAGCAAAACCGGTATATTTCCAGATTATTTTTGAAAAAATAATGTATAATTTTGTCATATATACGGAAACCGATTTTTTCCGCTTTCAGAAAAAAATTACCTAAATGTGTAAATACTCTCAGAATCTCATTAAATATAATATGCAACCTAATCGTAGAACGCGTTAATTGTAAACTGTTGTAAGTTATCTCTTGTATTACTATTGCAGACTGCAGTTTGGTAGTCGAAAGCTTGTGAAATATTTTAAACCAGAAAGGGCAAAAAAAATTTTCAATTTACTGAAGAACATTTTCTACAAATTTTATAAGCGGTTATACAATACACATTTACTACGCCAGTCAATCACTGGCAAAAAATATGAAATCCATACTGTGAAATTTGCAATTGCACCACTAAATCCATAGTATATCCATACTATTTCGATACTCTATCTATAGTATGGAAATATAAAATTATTATGGATAATCAAAATCCATCCTATATCCAACGAAAATCGATACAATTTCCATTCTATGGCCTTCTGTGGATTTTCAATTTTTTCCAGTGAATTGTTTGGCTGTGGAAACTGGAAACGTCTTGCAAAGTGGATACATGTATAAGTCACCAGTGAATGCTTACCTGATTGTAGTTCCCATCTGATACAGCATCCTCGGCTGTTAATGATTCAAACGACTTGTCTGTTGTAATTTCAACAACATACATATCAGTTGGTTTTCTTCTCCAGACATTTCCACTATGATCTTTCACAGCTCGCAAGATGACAAGTTTAAACAAGAAATTGTCCAATCCTTTTACAACCTTAATGAAGTTATCAAAGAAAAGATTTGTACTCTCTGCCGGGGCAGGAAATTATGTACGCATGGACGTTTTTTATCCATGACTATATGTATCGACTGATCAGTTCGAATAGCAAATAGAATTTGCACTAAACTTAGTTATGAACATATTGTTTGACGTAAATATTACACCACTATTGTTGTGCAGCAATTTATTGCAAGCTAGAATTTACAGCCAATTGCAATTGATTGCGACGTGTGCATAAACTAAACATTTGTTCACCGTTTCGAACTTATTGGATGAAAGTGGACGTACTAGGGGCAAACTTCATTGTTGTTAAAGCAAAACGTCTTCTACCAATAAGATTACGTTGTTAAAATACTCAATTATCATTCTAACAAACGTTATGCAACCTATAACAAGCCTTTATAGGCCGTAGGATGAGCATCCAAAAGATGCTTCGAAAACGGATTCCGTTGCACCCCTCGTGTAACTACGTAATTTTCACATGAATAAATAGATAAAAATTTACTTTATCAGAATCCGTTGCTCCCCAAGCGAAACAGGTGCATAATTGGGAGAAAAATCCCTCCAAAGTTTGATATTTTCGCGCTTCGAAATATTCGAACCGCCATTGTTTTGATAGCAAATACGCATGCGCAACTCAGCCAAACTCGCACTGCGCACGCCCACAACCAACGCACATGCTTCGAAGTGGAAACACGCTCAGTTTTGCAAAAAACATGGCTGAAGATATTTATAAAACTCGAATATCCTCATGTTTTATGCATTTTGAGCGTTACGGAGCAACTTTGCAAAGTTACACGCCAAAGGCTTAAGAAATTTCTTGAGTGTAGGTCAAAATGGGCCAAACTTAAATGTCAACAAGCTGAAATAGCTAAGAAATCGTACGAGAACATCGATGACGGATCTGTCAATTCATACATCGAGAACTTAGAACTCTGACACCATTAACTTAGAATGGAACCATCATATGAAATGCTGGAAGAGATTTTGTGATGAAGAGAAGATCCGTAGATAACAGAGAAAAGAAGAAAAAGGAGAAAGAACTAGCTCTAAAACTATAACTTCTACCGAAGAATCACACGTGGAAGTGGAGGCAATAGAACCAAGGCGAAAAATTAATACACGTCAATCAGTCGCAGAAGCTATAAATATAAAGGCCCTGCCTAAAAGAAACGCGCATGTACTCCCAGAGATATGTAATATTTGTGGAAGAGACGCCTCATGGTTCTCACTAGACAAGGTATGGTATTTTGATAGGTATATAAATACTAGCGCAATGTGCACAACATTCTCAGGTTTGGTTTTAAAATATATTGAATTGTGATCAATTTAGTTTATATAGGGTAAAGTAGTTTCTATGCTACAAACATCCAACCTTGTTATTAGCAGATATTTAGTTTAATAATTTATTTTGTTTCACACCAGGTAACTAAGAAGAGAAGAAGAACCCCACTCATGTTGGCAGAAACAATTGATGCTACAGCTGCTGAGAGAAAGAAAGATCAACAGATACTCAAGCAAATCCAGGGGAAAAGACTGTGTAGCTCTGGAAATCCGCTATCACAAAGTTTGCTACTGCAATTATACAATATTTCTCACCAGAGAGACGAAGAAGCAACAAGAGTATCAGTGTACGAGAAGTCTTATGATGTATTCTGTAAGAAAGTAATTGAGATGGAGGTCATCGGAAAGAAGCAAATAAAGTATATGAAAGATTTGCTGGAGAAATTTGTTATCATTGCTAAGGACACTGAGAATGTGGATGCATCTAGATTTAGAGCTTTTAAACTCAAGCAACGACTGATGAAAAGTTATCCCCAACTTGTACAAGTTCTGTGTACCGAAAATGAGAAATGTTAGTGAGATTGTATATGTGGAAAATTTGGATTCTTCTGAATTGGTTGAGGAACATATGTCAATTAAGGGCCTGTTTATGTGGAAGCCGGGCTGGCTCGCTTAGCGAGGCAGCCCGGTAAGCGGGATGAATTTCTCTTGTGTTTATATGAGAAACTTTCATCCCGCTTGCCGGGACAATTTTGTTACATTGTATTGTTTTGACAGTTGTTAAAAATAGCTTGCGGCGGTATTTTTGAACTTTCATCCCAGCAACCGGGATAGCCCGCTTGTAAATGTTTATATGGAGAAATTTCCATCCCGGTAAGCGAGATCTAGCCTTTTTCAAACGAGATCTCGGCAACCCGGGCCAGCCTGCTTGTCCATATAAACGCATGATAATTTTACTATAAAAATAACTACACAGCGAGATCTTGCTTACCAGGCTGTCTCGCTTATCAGGCCAGCCCAGCTTCCATATAAACAGGCCCTAAGTCTGAAAACAATGATGAGGACTTTGATGAAGAGAGCTGTACCATTGATGATGATGATGTGAATTCCAACACAGAAACTGAGGGAAATTCTAAAGTCAATGAGTTACAAATTCTATACAATGCTGCATTGATTATTCACCAAAAGGTGCAAGAAATACCAAAACTGAATCTTCCTTGGCCACCATTGGCATCTGATTTGACAAGGGATAATATTTCAAATCCGACTATGAGGACTGGACTAGATTTCAAGTCCACGCAATTTGATCACATCCGAGGCGAATCAGAGGACTGGATCAAAATGTGAGGACTTGAAATCTAGTCCAGTCCGAATTGGAGGATTTGAAATGACATCTCATACGAATAAATCACTACTTAATTAATTTTGATCCAGTCCAAGGACTGAATTAATTTTAATCCAGTCCAAGGGCACTACAGGATCAATATACTTCATAAAGTATCTAGTATTATCATGTGAGCAAAATAAAGCAATATGGTTGGCTAATTTGCTCATGAATTATTAATGATTTGAGGTGAACAATGATGGTAATGCATGTAGGTATTATCAGTGGAGTAGATCAGTATTTATTTACTTATTCGATATTCTCATTCGGATCCACAGTATTTATATTATCAACACATATATCCCTCTCATGGACAGGGTTAACAGTATGGTCATGTCTGAGAAGCTAAAATGCACCCTGGTGGAGGAGCTGAAACTTACAGCAACAAATCTATAAGAAAAAGTCAACTAGTATGGACACGAAAAACCAGGCTGAATCGTTCCTTGTTATTCTAGATAGTGGCTAAATACCAACTTATGTCACAATATAAATATAATACATGTAATAGTTCAAATAGGAGAAGTAGAACTTTACCAGACAAAAGCCAGGACAGCTTATTGCAGAATACATGCAATCTCGTTTTGAGCATGCAA